CATCAACTTCATCTCCATCAGCTCCCTTGTTGATTCTGATTTGGGCGAAGCAGGTTCCCCCGCGTGCCAATCGCGACTCAACTGCTTCAAAGAATGAAGAGGTGTAAAGTTTTCCGTGTCCTGATCGACCGGGATATTTCTTCGGGCCTAGCTTCCTCGTAGTCTTTTTCCGTCAACTGCTCCTCCTGCGGCGTCGAGTGAGGATCGGCGCAGTCGCCCCGACCATCACCGCGAGACCAAACCCGCGGTGTCTTTTGAAAGTTCGGGCTTCTTGATGGGCGCCTCACGGGGCAGCCAGGCCAGTGGTCGGCGCATTCGGGGCATGAGCAACAAACGCCTCTGTCGAGCTTTCGTTCCTCGGCGATAGCTCTCTTGAGGTCGCGCTTGGCAATCGTTTCTTGTGTTTTGATAGGTCCTGTCCTGGTTGGGCGAATGATTTTGCCGCCTTCATCTCGCGAGATATTGCGAAGAGAATGCCAGCGGCGGATCGGGTGCTCAGCCCAGCCCTTGTTTAACCAATCTCACATCGTATCTAGAGGCATGCGCTGACGAGCCGACCCAGCTTCCGCGTGGCCAGCAAGGCGCTGCATTCCGCCCATCTGGACATTCTTCTCGCGGTTGATCTTCTTGGGGCGGGCGCCCCCGCAAGCGCTACCTCCTCGGGGGAGTGTCAGGTCCATTGGCCCGCCATGGATGGGCCTTTGGAGTTCCCGCGCCAGGGGGATGAGGGCGCCGGCGGTGGCTAGAGCGAGCGCCGCTGGCGCGTGCGCGCGCGCGATTGGGTGAGCGACTGGGAAACCGACCGCGGCGTGCCAGACGATCGTCGTCTTCCCATTCTTCGTCAGAATCATCGGCGCTATACATTTTCCTCCCGACCTGGCGGCTTGCCGATCGCCCCTGGCGGCTCATAGAGTGGTCCGAAGCGACGAATGTGTATTGAAATCCTTCATTATGGCCAAGCTCATATTGGACGCGCTCAGATAGACCGCTAAGGTCTCGCGGGTGTCCCCGCAAAGGGTCATCGTCACTAAATTCCATGTTTGTCGGATTACACATGGCCCGAGGATCATCATGCATCAGCTGTGTTTCCCCTCCTGTTGCAGGAATAAGGGCTTCTGAATCCCCGGGCGTTCTCCTTCGGCGGGCACGTGGAAGTTCTCAATGACTTCAATATGCAGGTTGCCCCGGGATGGGCATCTCGAGAGACACACTGGCACTCAGATATCTGGCAGCCATGAAGTTAACAACTGCTGCTGAGCAATCGGGAGGGTCGGCTAAAAGAGACCTCCAGTCAACGCACTGCATGTCAGAACTAGTCTGAGCCAGATGTATCGACGGACCCCTGCCTCTCCCATCGCCTCGAGGACATTCGCGGCGAAAGTGCTGCGTGCTATGGCATATGTCGCACTCCATAATTTTGACATTGGCATCCTTGGGGTTTCCCCGACGCCCCTAAGTTTTTTCAGACGTACGCCTGCGATTCCTGCCTGCACCTGAAAAATATCAACATGCTGTGGTCCGGTGAGGGATGCGAGGAATGCTAATATGCCTCTGCCATGTAATCGCCGACGCTTTACCCTTTCCTCGACCCTTGCCTGTTCCCTTGAGTGCTCGTCTTACGATACGCCATGCCTTACGGAGTGGCTTCTTCATGAATCGCCTTCATCTGCGCTTTTGTTTTTGGTTTCCTGAAACTAACCATTGCGCCTGTTGCTCTTCCGTGAGGTATGTAGGCATATCGGAGTAGTCCAGGGCTGTGGCCTCATCGTCCGAGGACGCATCGGTGCCCGTGCCGGAATCGAAGTCGGACTCGGCAGGTTGCCCCGATGAGCCCACTAGGTTTGTGGCCTGCGTGGGGGATGCCGCTTCGGGCGGCCCCCGAAACCTGGCCCAGGGGTCTTGCGACCCCGAGGCCAATCCACCGTTCTGAGCCAGTAGTGTATTGGTCTCAGTTGGTTGTGGATCGTCATTACAGGCGTTAATAGCAGGTTGCCCTGCGTTTGCTTCACCGTGAAAGGTCTCGGTTCGGTGACCGTGGCTGAAAATACAACCAATATTACCGGGGTTCTCTCAGCAATGCGAGCATATGACCTCACGCGTTCGAGTAGAGCGTCAAACTGTTGTTGGTCTCTCGGCATGTGGTGGTTTAGAGGCTGCAGGAGTTGTCGTGCACGCGATGTCCCCACTCCAAGAGCTCTGAATATAATAACTGCTAATATTCGAAAGTTGGGGATGTTCAACCCTGCCGTTTCAGCTTCGTTGCGGGTTATCTCGAAGCGTGCTAACGTCTGGTCGATTCGTTCTCCCGCGTGGACTCGGAAGTCAATGAGAGCTGTACCAGAGTTGAGTTGGTGCTCCTCTTCTAAATTCTCGAACTTCGCGCTTGAGAGGAACATGATGTAGGTGACGCCGTCGGTATGGCGGCCACCTATGTGAAAGCCAGAATTGGTAACTGCTGGGGGGGACTCTCACGGCTATGGTCCGAGCGAGAACTCCCAAACCTCGCTGCAGGGATGCAGCTTGCTGGGAGGGCGTCACGTTGCCTGTGGTCACGTTGGTCCAGGCATGTACCTCGCGGGCGAATTCGCGAAAAAGTACCTGACCGGCTGGGTCCCAATGAGGCCCGGTCGTTCTTGTGTCGTCTCCACCACGCATATCTCCTGCCACACACTCGATAGCGACCCATGTGAGCCCAAAAATAGTAACACCGATCCAATGGCCTCGTAGGTCGTAGTCGGATGTGATCGGTTGGGGCTTCTGACGTGTGGTCGTAAGTCTGCGTGGGGGTGGAGGCGGCGCCGTCTCGTATCGCATGTTTCCATTCATTACGTATTCGGAAAAAAAGTTTCCAATTGGAGTAAGTGGGTGGACTTCAGGAGTGTAATAGCGCCGGGATGTAGGACGAAAGTACAAGGCCTCGCGTAAGTAGAGGTGTCGCTGCAAGTGTCCTTGCGGTACTGCGTATTTATAGACATTCCTCAGCGCAAACCCACTGCACCCAGATGTTCCACCATGTCTGTAGTCCACCAAGTAGTGCCGTGGATGGTGAGGAATAGAGCTAGAGCAGACCACCATAGGCCAGCTCCGATACCAAGTTTGAATGGGGTTGGGCGGCCCAACCAGCAGCTTCGCCTTAGGCGACGACCGGCCCCAGCTCTGTACCGTAGTAACGATAGTCCCAGTAGGAGAGGATGTGCCATCTTAAGCAATAGGAAAAACCTTTTGGTCTCGATGGCGAATGGTATGCCTCACAATGAGGCACAATCACATTTGGGTGGCCGGCCGCGTGAGCAGATGCGGCCGCGGGCACACGCTCGCTTCCACCCCCCGTGTCCCCCAGCTCGCTTTAGAGTCAAACATGTCCCAACCAGTCTCGATATGGAACTCGAGCGCTCCATCACTGTTGCATCCAAGACCGAGGGCGTACAATTGTTGGCCACTTCTGGAACATGTGGGCGGCCGTTCGGGACAATCCCGACACCCTCGGAACGCTCCCGACGAGGCGCAGCTGCTGGAAAGCATCACGAGGCAACAAACAAAACCGCCAAGAGTCAACGAAGACGTCCGCCCCCACCCTATTCAATGACGAAGCCCTTCCCACGCCAATGGTCGACAGGAGAGTGCGAGGTTCGAGGCCCGGTGGCCCCCAAGACCGCACAAAACAGCCCAGGACCCACCACTCGCTGCGTGCTCCCAGCAGTCTGAGATGCTGAGCCAGATGCAGCAGACACATACGAAAAGTAAGCTTGCTGTAACATGTATCCAGGGCACATTGATTGTCAATCTTTGCGGGTCCTACTAAGGTGCCCCAGAGCTCCAGAGGGCACCCAGGGTCACTGGGAGACAAGAAACTTGCTTAATCGGTGCACCTGCTCCCAGGCCGGTCTCTCATCTGACGTGCCTACAAGTGAGGGGGACGAGACAGGCAAACCGAAAAGCGACAGAACAGGCAGCGAAACAGAAGCCAACAGAAATCTACAGGCTGCGAGGAGCCTAAAAGGGAGCGGCGACACGGCAACGAAATGACCGACGGAACCGACCGACCGAACGCAGCTGACTGCGACGCAACCGAGCCGACCGAAGCGCGGGAGCAGCAAGCACGCGACGCCTCCTCCGTGCCCTCGCCTTCTCAGGGCAATCGGGGGATGAAGGAACCTCCTTGGGGGTACCTGCTCTTCTTGTGGTAACATCCGCATGCCTCGATGCTGTCCCTGTTCGCCGGCGCGCGCGCGCGCCGTTGGCATCACGAGCCAAGTGGGCGACGAAAAGGAACGGGCCTTACGCAAGATGGCACACCGACATTACGCGGTGGCTTACGCGGGCCGCCAGCGCGACACGCTACATTGGAGACGAGGGCGCTTACAAACGACCTTACGAAGGCAGCTTACGCGCGAATGTCGGCGCAGACGACCCCGTTACAGTCAACCCATGTGGTAAGGATGCGCGGTAAGGATGCAAGGGCCTCGGACGCCCATGCTGAGGCTCTTCGAGCGGGGCTGGCCACCGAGTGGTCGAGGATGGACCGAAGATGACCGAAGAGGCGAGGATGCAAGGGCACCCTTGGAAAATGATCGTCCTTACTATGCGGGTTGACTGAAGCTCGCGCCGCCCAACTGAAGAGAGGCCGCGAGGCACAGGGTGCGAGCGTATGGAGCCTCTCTCTCTGAAAGGGGCCCAGGGATACACAAACAGATAGACACGGATGCCAGGCTTCCCCCTATGTTTTGCCATATGTTCCGGATGCTCGTCTCCCCCAAGGTTTCCCCTTTTCCCAAGAATCGACGATCTATTGTGCTTGTGTGCTTTTTCTCCTTCCTGATTTTCAACAGCATCCACATGTCTCGCTGCTGCCCCTGTTCGCTCACGCGCGCGTGCCCTTCGCGAGCACGCGACGCCCCCCGCGGTCCTGGCCCCCCGTGCCTTCGCCCTCCCTCTCCAACGCCCCCGAGTAGGGAGCCCACAAAGGACGCACGCGCCCCCCTCCGCAGCAGCCCGCCTGCCTTCGCCTCTGGCGCCCTCCGCTTCGCCTGCCGGGCGAGGCGGGCCGCTTTTTTCTCGCCCGGGGAGGGGCGAACATCCTGCACCACCCGCGCGGCCGTGGTGCCGGCCCGGCGCCTACTTCGGCGGCGCGCCCAGTGAGACGAAAAGCCAAGACGAGGACAAGAACAGGTCGGGGTAGATCGAGAATCTCTGAGATCAGGCGGCTCGGGAAGAGGCATTGCGCGCGGCGGTCTCCACAGGGCGGTCGGGAACGCTCCGAGAGCGCCTCGGCACGCTCTGGAACGGAATTACCATCCTTGCCCGAGCCCCGTCCGACCCCGGTCGGGCGGACTGGGTTTGGTGGGACCTGGTCTAGGAGACCGGCGCGGGAGTTCCGACGAACCCCTCCTGAAACCTTCCTGAAGGTTTTTCCCAACCATCCTGTATTGTTGGGTCCTCGTTTTAGAGAATCGGTTCCCGCGTTCTCCTTCTCTCCTCCTCTTCCCCCTCCTCCTCCACCGTCCGCATGCGTCCCGCACACCCAGTACAGCGTTTCGTGGCCTTCTTCCCCCTCCTCCCTGCGTTTCACCCACCCAGTACAACGCTTCGTGGCCCCATAGGGAGCCCCACCGAAGGTCCCAGTGCTACCGTCCGCATGCGTCCCGCACACCCAGTACAGCGCTTCGTGGCCCCATAGGGAACCCCACCGTAGGTCACAGTGCTACCGTCCGCATGCGTCCCGCACACCCAGTACAGCGTTTCGTGGCACTCCTCCCCTCCTCCCTGCGTTTCACCTACCCAGTACAACGCTTCGTGGCCCCATAGGGAGCCCCACCGAAGGTCCCAGTGCTACCGTCCGCATGCGTCCCGCACGCCCAGTACAGCGTTTCGTGGCCCCATAAGGAACCCCACCGAAGGTCCCAATGCTACCGTCCGATGCGTCCCGCACACCCAGTACAGCGCTTCGTGGACCATGGGGAGCTCCACCGAAGGTCCCAGTGCTACCGTCCGCATGCGTCCCGCACACCCAGTACAGCGTTTCGTGGCCCTCCTCCCCCTCCTCCCTGCGTTTCACCCACCCAGTACAACGCTTCGTGGCCCCATATGGAGCCCCACCGTAGGTCCCAGTGCTACCGTCCGCATGCGTCCCGCACGCCCAGTACAGCGCTTCGTGGCCTCATAGGGAGCCCCACCGAAGGTCCCAGCGCTGACGTCCGCATGCGTCCTGCATACCCAGTAAAGCGCTTCGTGGCCCCATAGGGAGCTCCACCGAAGGCCCCAGTGCCCCCGTCCGCATGCGTCGCGGAAGCCCAATTTGGCATTTTCACCCACCCAGTGCAGCTTTGCGTGGCCCCATATGGGGGCTCCACCCAAAGCCCCAATGCCACCGTCCGTATGCGTCCGGGAAATGTAATTTGGCATTTTCACCCGCGCAGTGCCGCGCTTCGTGGCCCCATAGGGGGCTCCACCGAAGCCCCCAGTGGGACCGTCCGCGTGCGTCCCGAAGCCCAATTTGGCGTTTCCGCTGACTCAATATAGGCCCCATAGGGAGCTCCACCGAAGCCCTCAGTGGGACCGTCCGCATGCGTCCAAGAAAACCAATTCGGCACACCACCTACACAGTACAGCGCTCCCCCCCGCCCACTGCAGCGCTTCGTGGCCCCATAGGGAGCTTCACCGAAGCAGATATTCACAATTACGGCGCCCACAACTGCATATGGTTTGGACCTTCGCCAGGATAATTTGCAAGTTTTTTGGAAGGTTTTCCCGGGAGAGGGGGGGGGAGAGGAAGGCTCTAGGAAGGATTTTCCCAACCAACCTGTGTGATTGGGTCCTCGTTTTGAAGGGACGGTCCCCGCGTCTCCTCCTCCTCCTCCTCCTCCCTCCTCCCCTCCCCTCCTCTCATCATCATCATCATCATCATCATCATCACCACCATCATCATCATCACCACCCGCATCATCAGCATTGTCGTCATCGTCGTCATCGTCACCATCAACATCAACATCATCAACATCATCACACGTTTCATTGCCCCATAGGGAGCTCCACCGAAAGTCCCCGTGGCGCAATCCGCACGCGTCTTCCTCACCCAGTACAGCGCTTCGTGGCCCCATAGGGGCTCCACCGGAGATCCCCGTGGCGCAGTCCGCATGCGTCTCCCTCACCCAGTACAGCGCTTCGTGGCCCCATAGGGAGCGCCACCGAAGGTCACCGTGGCGCAGTCCGCATGCGTCTCCCCCACCCAGTACAGCGCTTCGTGGCCCCGTAGGGAGCTCCACCGACGGTCCCCGTAACGCTTGGTGGCCCCATAGGGAGCTCCACCGAAGGTTTCCTATGGCGCAGTCCGCATGCGTCTCCCCCACCCAGGACAACGCTTCGTGGCCCCATAGGGGCTCCACCGAGGGCCCCCGTGGCGCAGTAGTCCGCATGCGTCTCCACCACCCAGTACAACGCTTCGTGGCCCCCTAGGGAGCGCCACCGAAGGTCCCCGTGGCGCAATCCGCATGCGTTTCCCCCACCCAGTACAGCGCTTCGTTGCCCCATAGGGAACCCCACCGAAGGCCCCCGTGGCGCAGTCCGCTTGCGTCTCCCCCACCCACTACAGCGCTTCGTGGCCCCATAGGGAGCTCCACCGAAAGTCCCTATGGCGCAATCCGCATGCGTCTCCCCCACCCAGTGCAGCGCTTCGTGGCCCCATAGGGGCTCCACCGAGGGTCCCCGTGGCGCAGTCCGCATGCGTCTTCCTCGCCCAGTACAGCGCTTCGTGGCCCCATAGGGAGCACCACCGAAGGCCCCCGTGGCGCAGTCCGCATGCGCCTCCCCCGCCCAGTACAGCGCTTCGTGGCCCCAAATGGAGCCCCACCGAAGGTCCCCGTGGCGCAGTCCGCATGCGTCTCCCTCACCCAGTACAGCGCTTCGTGCCCCATAGGGAGCTCCACCGAAGGTCCCCGTGGCGCAGTCCGCATGCGTCTCCCCCACCCAGTGCAACGCTTCGTGGCCCCCTAGGGGGCTCCACCGAAGGTCCCCGTGGCGCAGTCCGCATGCGTCTCCCCCACCTAGTAGACTTCCGTCGGAGGCCGTCGGAGTTCCGCGCCTCGCTCGCCCGTCGTCGCTCTGCCCAGCGGCAAGAGCCTTGCCCGCTATCAGCCAGCCAGCTAGCTCTCTTTGCTCCGCGCAACGAACGACCCGCGCGCGTAGCTGGGACCCCTCCGGGGCGACCTGCACGCGTCGCGGGGGCTCCGCGCTGCGCTGCGCCCGCAGCCTTGGACTTTTGGAGTGCGCGGGCAAGGAGGGAGCAAAAGAAGGGGAGGAAGCGGGCGCGATCCTCGCGGGGGGGGGGCGCGCCGACATTGGCGTTGCGGCGCGCGGGCGATGCCGTCGGGGAGTCCCGGGGGAGCTCCATGCGGCGGCCACGCCCAGCGTCACGAGTACTCAGAGGCAGCCATTCTCAAACGATTGACACTCATATACACTTACACCATGCTTTGTCATACTCGCATTCATGCACGTAGACTCGCTCGCTCGCAGATTCATTCACAGTCAGACGCACTCGCGCTCAGATTCACCCGCGCTCAGTCTCCCTACGTACTCAAATCAATCGTTTTCTTTCGCGTTGTGTACCGCGCCACTCATGTCGGCACGCCCCTAGCACGGCACGTTGCCTCATAGGGATCACCGCCGAAAAAGGGAATCACAATTGCGGTACTCACACCTGCATGTGGTTGGGTCCTTCGTCAGGCGAATGTTCAAACAACCTTTCAAACCCTTTTCAAACAGCTTCCAAACACCTTCCAAAAACCTTCCAGCAACCTGCCGAACAACCTTCCTGAAACCTTCCAGAAACCTTCCAAACACTTGAGAAAACATACAAACACCTTCCAAACACATTACAATACACAACCTTCCAAAATCTGTCAAAAAAACTCCCAGAAACCTTCCGAACAACCCTCCAAAAACCTCCAGGAGGGGTTGGCCCAACAACAAGGTTTTAGGGCGATTTTTTTTTTGGAACGCTCCAGGAATCCAAAAACCTCCCCGAGGAATGTTGTAGGACAGTTCTTTAGAAGGCCCCGGGAATCCTGGACCCTCCCCGAGGAAGGTTTTACAACATATTAAACAAGTTTCTCCAACGAACATCCAACAACCGCCCAAGACAACCCTGCGAAAACCTCCCAACAACCTGTCAACAAACACCATCCAAAACAACGCCCAAACAACGTACCTAAAACCCTCCAACATTTACCGGAACCGCCCAATACATTCCAAAAACCGTCCAACAACTCTCCAACATACCTTCCGACAACCTTCCAACAACCACCCAAACAACCGACCTACATATATATATATATATATATATATATATATATATATTTTAAAAAAAAATTCCAAACCAATCTCCAAAAACCGCTATATATAACCCCTAAAACCTTCCTCGGGGAGGTTCCGGGAGGGACTGGCCCAAAAACCTTCCAAAAACCTTCCGGAGGAAGGCTTCAGGAAGGTTTTTTTGTGGAAGGTCCCAGGGATCCCGGAACCTTCCGGAGGAGGGTTTGAGGAAGGTTTTTCCCAACCATCCTGTGGCGTTGGGTCCTCGTTTTGAAGAGACGCAGCCCGTGCAGCGCTTCGTGGCCCCATAGGCAGCTCCACCGAAGCCCCCAGTGGGACCGCCCGCGTGCGTCCCCCACGTTCAACTTGACATTTTCACAGACCCAGTACAGCGTTTCGCGGCCCAATAGGGAGCCCCGCCGAAGCCCCCAGTGGGGCCGCCCGCGCGCGCCCCCCACACCCAACTTGGCATTGTCACCCACCCAGCACAGCGCTTCGCGGCCCCATAGGGAGCCCCACCGAAGCCCCCAATGGGACTGCCCGCGTGCGTCCCCCACACCCAATTTGGCATTTTCATTCACCCAGTACAACGTTTCGTGGAGCTCCCTATGGGGTCACGAAGCGTTGTACTGGGTGGGTGAAAATGCCACATTGAATGTGGGGGACGCATGTGGGCTTCCGATTGGAATCCTTGCGCAGAGGCTTTCAAGCATGATAT